TGGGCCACTTGGCTCGTATGCAGACTTTACCTCTTTTACCTTTACAAGACATAATATCAGGGTTAACTAAATAGTGAAAGTGTACAAGTTTATCTGTATTGTAAAGTGTTTTCTTATACCAAATGTTAAAAAAAAATGAGGGAAAAAATTGGCTCGAAATCGAAAGCTTGGCTCTCCTTTGTCAAAGCATGACTAATACCAGGGGATCATGTGTTAATGTGTACTGTAGATTTGACGACTGGGTATTGCACCATAGTCGTTCGGAGGGGTGTTTAGCGTACCACATGAGGCCTGTTTTTCTGCAGCGTGCGATGTAGGCACATTCAAATACTCTTTGTATTCTGTATTTGAATAAAATATTATTATTATTCTGTGCTGTGTTATTTGGAGTGGTGACAGAGACCGGTACGGTCTGTATACTTCCGGTACGAGCAATGTTCCTGCGACGCCGGTAAATCAAGTAAATAACGATCGAAATCAAACTTATCAGAACAAGCGAACCAAGTACCGAGCCGACTATGACAAGAGTTGGATTTTTGTAGCTGTTAGCCGAGCAGTCGCCTTTATCTGAACAGGATCCATGACAGCAGATTTCTCCAATGGGGCATTCCGAGTCATGATCGCAATTACACTTCTGTGCATTTGTACACACATCTAGACAACATTTTTCACCCACGTCACGGTCGTAATCATGAGTACAACTTCGACCAACACATCCTGATTCTGCTGCACATTGACTGCTACAGCACGTTTCACCCCAAGAGCAGTCACTACTGGTAACACAGTAATGACCTTGGCAGCTGGTGACTTCACAGACACCCATACAACAGACAGATCCCAAACGACACCGAGGAAAACACGAACCACCGCTTTCACCGATCGACGGGTGCAAGGGAGGAAGTGATAAACATAAACACGATCATGTGTTTACCACGAAGGATGGAGACTTGTAGCGTGTAAACTGCAGCCATTTAACTCTGCTTTTCTTTAGTATTTTCTGTGCCTACACTTCTTCCTTCGCAAGCTCAAGGACAGTTATCTTTTGTCGTCTCGTTCCCAGGGTCGCATCGATGTCTCAGCCAGCGAGGCCTTGACACTAAAAAGCAGAGTGCCGTAGCAAAGCAAACCACAACTGAAACATTTAAAAGAACTGTCACGATTCATAAAACCTCTTACAATCCTAGGAAGATTAGACCTGATTTAATAATTAAGTAAGGAAAAAACGTAATTGAAGACCAAACAGAGCCAGTTATATGCAAGGCCTAGGGGTTTATGGTATACGGACTACCGTATTTACTCGAATAAGCGCCGCGGCGCTTATTTAATTTTTCGTGTCTCCGGTGCGGCGCTTATTCGAGGGCGGCGCTTATTTAAAGGGCTGATACCAAAAAAACAAAATATTTTGATTGTACAATTTAATTTACTTCATAAGTATTTTTCATGGCTTACAGGCTTGAAGTTAACCTRAGTTTTGGCTTTCATAACAGCCTCGTGAATACTTTTCTGCAGGTTTTCAACAACGCTTCACTCGATGTCAATGTCCTAACTGTTGCTGAAATACTCGAATAAGCGCCGCACCGCAGCTGCGGCGCTTATTCGAGGGCGGCGCTTATTAACTTTTCGACCCAATGTGCGGCGCTTAATTGAGGGCGGCGCTTATTCGGGGGCGGCGCTTATTCGAGTAAATACGGTATATGTAGATTGAGTATGGTATTTTGCCCTGAATTGTGTGTGGATAAATGCTCCAGAAAATAGATACCGAATTGAACGTTTAAAATCCTTTTTCAGATTGTACTAGTCGATTAATCCTGGATGCCAGGGGGACTTCCATATTAAAAGAACGGGGGTGCTCGTCGGAAATTTTAAAAAGAAACCCTAAGAGGTACCAAGATCCTGTTTGGTGGGCGTGGCTTGAAATTTTTTCCACCTAAATTAGAGGTACCAATTCAAAAGCAAGACATAATCTGCTGCCATATTTTTTTCGACTCAATATCCTAAAAGGTACCACGAAGGCTTCCGCTGTGGAACTTTTGAGGCTGGACACCCAAATAGGTAACAAAACTGTGTTTTTAACCTCTAAAAGGTATGAAGAGCGCCCCCGTCCTTTTTTGTGTGGGAGTCCCTCCCGGGCCTGGAAGCACATAATTTTTATGCTTGTGAACGCCCATCGCAGGTGCGACCAATGCGACAGGCTTGCAGATTGCACTCCACTTGGCGTAACGCTCAGGTTAACCTGCTTACTCCCAACAATGGCAATGTTTACAAAACTTGACCTTCAAAATCTCGGTTTCCGGTAAAAGCTGCACAAAGATATCCATCAGGGTCCATCGGCGGACAACAGCTACAACGACAAGTGCTTTTCGCGGGGTCTGGGAGAGAATAGGATAAAACACACGTTGCTCCAACACTGCTGTTTACTGAAACCGGCAGAGTCGAAACGAAACACATGGAAACAAAACTTTATTATGACAGCAACCCGAAAAGGAAGGATCTATCCCTCGAAAACAAAACAGGGTTGTTATTTCCAAACGCTAAATGTAAGTGTTTTCCTTTAAGAACACCCCCTCTTCACCGCACAATAAAAACCTCGTCAGACGCTGATTACGTTCTCAAGTAGTACTGTGATAGCCTGCGAGACGCTCATCATTCGGTGACACGCTCGATTTTATACTCGCGCGCGCGCGCCAAAGCGAAAAGCCAGAAAGGTCAGGCAGCGCTTGCGTGCAAAACCTGCTCGCAAGCTGCATGACAGTGCGTGATAGTTAAATAGCCATATTACTTGGTTTTGGGTTAGAATTTGTTGTAACTGTAAGCTCATTCAATTCCTAGTAAATTTAAACTCTAGAAAACGCTACGTCCATCGAGTGTTGTAACCCAGGATGGTAGCTCCCCCCTTTCTCGGTTTTTTTTTTTGTTGTTGAAGGGGAGGGGGTGGTGTATCGAACCGCGCCACAATATTATGGGTCTTCTTTGACAAAAAAAAAAAAACAAAACAAAAACAAAAAAAATTCTTTAATTGCCTCAGGGGAAAAAGAAAACACGCAATAGCTATCATAATTTTACACTCAGTTTATTAGGAAACAATAAGTTGTATCACGATATAGAGTTTGATTAAGTTGAGTCGTATTTTCTGAGAGCTAACTACTTAGACTTATCTACAGTTTCCTAAGTTGTGCTCAGCTATAAATATTCCAGAGCATAGGTTTATACCCATGACACCGTTTCTACATCATATCCATTGTGACGGCTTATTTGAATTTGAGACAAAAATGTGCTATTGATTAAATTTGCGACAAGTCAAGGTCAAACAAATGTCTCCCATGGGAACCTGCTAGTGCTGAACGACATTTATCACGCGATTTAAAAATTCCACCCTTTTGAAGCTTTGTATTGAATAGGGGAGATATCTGTTTACAAAAGTGTTTTTGGGTTATTTAATTGTCAAAATAGATGATGTCACTGACGTCTTAGCAGTAACTGCATGCCCCGGGCGATAAAAGCTATTTTAAGCTGCAACATATTTGCATTGACTATTATAGATTCATTCATATATATACATTGCATATATATATCGTGTCCATTTTTCCTCAGTCATCAGTCATTAGTTGACGAACCAGTTCGCTGATCGAATGATGTCTCAGTCGGTGGTGTCCACAGCATGGCTTGACAAGGAGCTGAAGGCAAACAAGACCAACTTGGCAGTATTAGATGCCACTTGGTTTCCAGACAAGAACGCTTCCGAGGCTTTTTCAAAGTAAGTCGCCCAACGTTGTCAGAATTTCTGTACACGTCATAGACAAAAGACAAAAACGAAACAAGAACGGGCTCGGTTTTACATATCATTCTCAAAACAAAGGTAAATTATTAGTTGGTCAGTTATAACTGCGTATTTGGATCGAGCGGCAATATAACGGAGCAAAATTATAAAGGATTATACAGCTTTAGATATTAGAATATGGCCGTTAACCGTTCCAACAGGGTGGCCACAGTAACGTGTTTTCTTATAAGAAGATGTATCCGCGAACAGGGCTGCAGTTCGCGAAAAGACGGTGACTAATAAACGGGAAATAATTGAAATTGTTGCGTGCATAACCAGCTGTCAGGCGAATTAAAAAGATAAACTAACAACCGTTTAAGCAACGTTTAAAATTCACGTACATTAAATCACCCAAAACAATCTACAACGCAAATTAGTATAGATCGTGACTGGTAGCCTGGCAGTGTACGGTTGTTAACAAAATGGCGGCCGCTTCTTTGAGTTTTCGACTTGTCTTTGAAAAGGATTTCAATAAAGTTTTGAACGACTGGCAGGTTAAAACTAAAACAGAGAGAATGTTTGTTCGTTTATTGCTATGCGTGATAATTGACTCAGGAAACGCCCTCGTCAAACTATCACACGATAGAAATCAATAGCACTATTAATAAATTTATATCTAATCGGCCGTTTTTATACTAAAGACGCATTATCCGTCTGGACGAACGCGGGCAAACATTTGCAGTTCGTCGGGTTGTGCGTCTCTAGTATGAAGACGGGCACAAGACGCATTATACGTCTAGACTAACTATCCTTCGAAATACGTCTTGAACGACGCGCTACGAGAGATAGTTCGACTAGACGCATACGTCTTGTGCCCGTCTTTATACTAGAGACGCATAACCAGACGAACTGCAAATGTTTGCCCAACTTCTCCGGACGGATAATGCGTCTTTAGTATAAAAAACGGCGAGGACGAATTATGCTTCTGGACGGATAACGCGTCCTCTAGTATAAAAACGGCCATTGTTAGTGGAACACTACTCAACTAAGGCCGTGGGCAATTTCTTTACCACCAGAGATGCTTTGTGATCAGTCAAATGCTTTCATGTGTTGGCTAAAATCATCAAGCCAGTCAAATTTATCCATTCCAAGGTTATTTTTGGCTATAAAATGTTTAAGCAAGACACCGGAAGGGCGCGCCCGAACACCCCTCCAGATCGACTTGTCTCGAACGGTATGTTTTTACGTGATATTCGCCTGGTCAGTTTTAAGATCATTACACATATTTATGCCGACATTACACCTTTTGCTGTTCATTTACAGAGAATAAACATTCATTTGTGTCCAAATTTCTTTCTTTATGGTCAATAAACTCTCATTAACACCAATATGACCTTCATTTGCGCGTAAGGAACGTTCAAGAATAACATTTACATATGCATTAACATTCAAAATCATCAATAGAAAAGCAATACCTTCATTTGACATTCATTGACTGTAAATGTATTTTCATTTTGGTCGAAAAAAAATTCGTTGTCACAAAACGGCAATCATTTACACTTTAGCACAATCAGTTTTCAACAAAAGACTTTCAATGACACAATTTGCATGAGAACTAACATTCAATTGCATTACTATGCAACCATATCCATGAAGGTAAGAATCTTTAATGCGGCGAGACAAACATTACAGCCATAATAACATTTATTTTCGAAAGATAGAATATCAAATTCGCTGAACGATTTATCCTTCAATTGCCTCGCTAGTAAATAGTAAATAGTCTTCGTTGACATCTTCAAAAGCCCTGACTATCCTTTCGCGGTGTTGAAATGCGATTCTATTTCTTCGTGGCATTTCTGGA